TTTCTTCTGGGGTTACTGCCTAACGCAAATACCTGGTGGTCAGCTATCGCAACGGTTTGGCGGCAAGGTGATGCTGCTCTTTAGCATTGGCATGTCGGGAGTTCTCGCTCTATTTACCCCGATTAGCGCGCGTTTGGGCGATTGGCAACTGATATGTGCTCTACGCTTTCTACAGGGTTTCTGTCAAGGCGTCATTTATCCCTCCACACATACGCTGCTGGCCAAATGGGCGCCACCAGCCGAACGTGGTGTGCTCGCTACGCTATGCTTTTCCGGCTCACAATTTGGCACGATTATTATGCTAGCCATCAGCGGTACATTAGCTGCCTCGGCTTATGGCTGGCCGAGCATCTTCTATATGTCCGGTTGCTGCGGTGTGCTCTGGGCTTTTGTTTGGCTCATGTGGGGCGCTGATTCTCCACGAGCATCCAAATTGATTAGTTCAATCGAAAGGGACTACATTGAATCCGCTTTGGCGGCACTTTCAAAGCGTGAGAGTGATGCGATGGCATCGAAGTTGCCAACGCCTTGGCTGCGCATTCTCACATCGGTGCCATTCTGGGTGCTGCTCATCGCATGCTGCGCCTACAATTGGGGCTATTGGACGCTGATGACACAAATACCTTCGTATATGAAGAGCGTACTCGGCAAGGATATCAAAAGCAATGCATTGCTGTCGGCGTTACCTTACACCGCAAATTTGCTGCTTGGCTTGGGATTTTGTGCTTTGGCGCAAGTGCTGGTGTCGAAACAGGTGCTCAGCACCAACGCTAGTCGCAAAATATTCAACACGATCGGTATGTGGCTACCTATGGTGGCGGCTGTTGCATTGGGTTTCGTTGACGCCGGTCAAGCGAATTTGGCCGTAGTTCTACTGACAATAGCTGTTGGCGCAAATTCGGCAACATTTTTGGGTTCATTTGTAAATCACATTGATTTGTCGCCGAATTTCGCCGGCACTTTGATGGGCATAACGAATTGTGCAGCTAATGTTATGAGCGTATTAGCGCCACTTGTTGTTGGTATTGTTGTTACGGATGCGGTAAGTGGGTGCAAAAAGATTTTGTAATTATCTATATTTGCATATCTAATTTATATCTCCGTTTGCATTGCAGACAAACTCAACTCAGTGGCGCTTAGTGTTTATTATTATGGCTCTGTATTATTTTGTAGGTAATTTGCTCTTCATAACGCTAGGTAGCACGAAATTGCAATCATGGGACCAACCGGTGAAGCGGCGTGTGACGCGTGACCATATCAAATTTCAAGTTGTAGTAAGCGAAAAAGATCACATCTAATCTGTGCGTGTTTTTTCTTATCACTTTTGGCAGAACACAAGCGGCACTTACGTGTGGGAGAGCATTAAGATTTATCTAGATATAAAAAAAAAACACGTTTTCTAAATGAAGATTTTTTAATACGAAGTGATTAGACATTTTTTAGAGAGAATAGCGAGCACTAAATCCAAATTTAGCCCAAACAGGAAGAGTGGACTTTGTTCGGGGCAAAACCGCACATCTTGTATTTACATCTCCTGAAGTCATATGAAGAACGCACTCCTTATAGATTATTGACAAAAATGAAGTACTTAAAGCGGTAATGTAAAAAATAAAACAATCTAGAATTTTAAGCAAAAAAATAATGATATATTTCAGATTTAATAAACTTTGGAAGTGCGAAAAAATTTTTTTTATATTTCAATTTTTAATAAGACGGCAGGATTTTTCCTAAGGAAATCGAAAAAAATTAATTAAAGGAAACATCCTTTGCACTTTTTATCCTTCCGTATCCTTATATATTTTATAGGATTTAAATTAAACCAGGATTCTCAAAATGCATTCAAAATTAGAAATATTTTTAAAGAATATTTTTGACATGTGCCAAAAGGATAATTGAAAACAAAAGTTTATAACTAATCTTGTCCTTGTCTTGTACTGTAATACGGGTAGCCGTAGTCGGAACTACATAAAAGTTTTAATTGGATAGTTTTTAAGACAAAACTAAACAAAATGGGAGGGTATGCGCTAGTAAAACAAGTTTTTTTGAATAGTCTAATATGCATATGTACTAGTATGTGACTTTTCTGCACAATCATTCTCTAATACGCCATACAAAAAGTGCAGTTTGTAGTTCTTAAAATAAATGAAGATAGCAACACCCAAATCTAACTCAATATTTACTCAAAGATTTAATTTATTTACGATAACGTAAACGTGTTTTATGCAAATTCCTTAGCAGTTTTATTAAAAAAAAAAAAACAAACAATACACCTAACTTTATAAAATGTATTAGCTCATTCTTCATTATGGGTCATTCCAGCGAATATGCCACCACAGTTAAAAAAAAAAATATTACATAGATTGCGTTTAAGTCTGCGACACTACTTAAGGCGGTAAAATATCTTTTTAGAAATCGATTTAATTTTCACAATTTTCTTTGTTTATACTGTTATAAACGTAGCCGTAGTGCGTCTATTTTTGATACAGTTCCTTGTGAGGAGCACATATGTAGTTTTCTCAACGCCGAAGACATTTTCCAATATTACATTTACTAAAAATATATGCCATGCTTTTTAAATGTCCCCGTTGTCCGCTGAAAAATTTATACTCAAAAAACGTACAAAGGATACCCAAAATGACACGTTAAAATTCTTATTTTAATTACTTTGATTTTTCATAAAAATTAAAAGGACATTATTAAAATAAAAAAAATATTAAATAAGTTACAAGAACTCGTCACATTTGTTATTAAAATGGCTCAAGCTTTTTATAAAAAGTAATATTACATTAATAAAATGAATTTAAAAGTGAGTGACACAAAAGCACACGGTTCCGGAGATTTGCCCGAATATCAAAGAAATACCGTTCGCAAAAGAAAACCAGTCGGCGTACAATAATTAAAAATATTTTTTTTTTTAGTGGTGGCTTATTATTTGGGTCGTATAATGCTGTTCTTGATTTTTCGTTTTTACCACCATAAAAAAAATATAAAAGGGGGGGATAAAAAACATCACTTTGTTTGGAACTGCCCCGCTTAATATTTGGTTTTTGTTATTTTTGGCCTATATAACAATTATATTCAAAAATTTTATTGAGCTTGACGCCGTTTTTGTGAAAAAATGGTGTGGAAAAACAACAATAATTTACGCATACCTAGAGTGCCTATTTTTCTGTGAAAAATTATGAAAGAAAAAAAGTTTGGTTTTTGCAAAATTTAATTTTTTAATTATTTTTCATAAAAATAAATAAAAAATGAATAAAATCAAAAATTGATAATATTACTATTCTATTTTCAACAGTAGTAGTGGCAACAATAACTAACGCTTGAGTGAAAGAATGGTTGAAATCAATTAATTTTCAATAAAGTTATGGAAATTGTAAAAAAAGAAACCCCATATATCGATTTTTATCAAAAAAACCAAAAACCTTATATGTCCGACAAAAGTTTTTTTCGAGCAAAAACAGATAAAATACGGGTGTCATTACTTGGAGCAAGAAACAATGCAATGGTAAGTATCAGATATAAAAAAAAAAATTCGGAAAATTTTTCTTATGAAAAAAAAAAATGCGTCAGCAAAAAAATTCTCAATTGAAATTTGCACATTATTATACTGAAATTNCATTAATAAAGTTCAATAAAGTTATGGAAATTGTAAAAAAAGAATCCCCATATATCGATTTTTATCTAAAAAACCAAAAACCTTATATGTCCGACAAAAGTTTTTTTCGAGCAAAAAAAGATAAAATACGGGTATCCTTACTTGGAGCAATAAACAGCATATTTCATTTTTATCGAAAATACAAATCCTGACCAGTTGTCTTCAAATGGAAAGCATCAGACATAAAAAAAATTCTGAAAATTTTTCATATAAAAAAAAAAATGCGTAGAATAGTCAGCAAAAAAATTCTCAATTGAAATTTGCACATTATTATACTGAAATTTAATGGGCCATAAAATTGCATACCTGAATTCTTTTTAGAAATTCGTTTTAAAAAGTTCGCGATTTTGTTGGAACTTTCGTACGCTGTTTCAATCTTGGATTTAAATGGGGTTTGCTAAAATATAAGCCATGTTTTAATACAAAATTAACAAAAAGATTTTAGCATGTAAAACATTGCGAATATTAACAAGAAAGAGCCGTACGCTCAATTTTGTGAGTAACGGTATGTATATGTATGTATGTATGTATGTACTCACAAACAGCATCACTATTATATTTTGGTAAACAAACATATATACTTATATGTAAATACATACTTAGACACCATAGGTTGTCACCATCAATCTTAAGAAGTTGAACAGATATGAATAAGTTACATACATACATANAGCCGTACGCTCAATTTTGTGAGTAACGGTATGTATATGTATGTATGTATGTATGTACTCACAAACAGCATCACTATTATATTTTGGTAAACAAACATATATACTTATATGTAAATACATACTTAGACACCATAGGTTGTCACCATCAATCTTAAGAAGTTGAACAGATATGAATAAGTTACATACATACATACTTATGGTATATGCGAAATGTATACATACACATATGTATGTGTGGTAAGATGATAAGAGTTAATCAGCACCATAAATATAAGTTAATCTTAAACTCAACTTACTACGTTTATATACGTAGAACTTATTTATATTCGTATTAAAAAGTAAATTTTAAGTAAATGTATGTGTCCATATGCGTGTGCGCTCGTCTTCCGTAAAATCATCATAACATCGAATAATTTGCTTTAATTAATTAATATTGAAAACACACATAGGATTACACTTTTAATTGCCAAGTTACTTAAATAACCCACTTCTTCCACAGCGTTTCGGGAATGGCGTCAAAAGTTTCTTTAACCATTTAGTATTTCTAACAATTTGCAGAGGTTAATTTAATTTTTGACTTTTTAAGTTAATGCAGCCTTGTGACAAACCAAAGAATGCAGTTTATTTCTTTCATTTCAGATGAAGATGATAGTTAGTATTTATTTTAAACTTTCCACAAGTGCAAAATTTTAGAAGCTTTCCATTTCTCTAAGTGATCGCACGCAACATTTTTGCACTCGTCGCTGGTTCAAATGTTAAAATATAAATCACTTGTTTGAAATTTAAAAATTTTAATCGTTAGAAATGGAGAAAAGTACCAAGTATGAAAGTGGCAAAAAAGGTTAGTGAAGTGTGACAAAAAAAAGAAAAAAAAGGATATGGATAATTAAGACCAAATTTTTGATAAAAAGTACAGATAAATTTTAAATTTGACTTGAAACAAAAGTGTCTTATCAAGCTGTATGTAAGATAACTAGTTGACGTCGGTTTTGTCGCTAAAGTTGTTAGGCAGGACTACGCCAGACATTGAGTACATTTTGGGCAACTCTTCCCTAGATTGCATGTCTATATAACTGTACTTTACGGCATTATGTAGATTCTGTCATTAGGATTCAGGTAGATAAAGGTCAATGTGCTTCCAGCTTTGCAGCCCCGACCTATGTAGCTCATGTGGTCTGCCTCGTTATAGGACTTTCTTTCTTAGTTATTTGCTATCAAAACAAGCGTTGTTCTTTTCAATAGAATGAGAAGTTCCCAAGTACCTCTACCCTTGAAGGAGGCACTATTCAGATTTCATTCGAAGTAAAGCATTTGAGTGTACTCCTAAACGGTAAACTCTTATAGAAGTCTCACCTTGAACAAAAGATCTTCAAAGGCTTAACAGCGTTCTGGCGATGTCTTTGGTAGAATTTAGAGACTGTCATTTAGTGGAATCCTGTGCATTTACGCCTCTATTATATGCCCATTATCAGCTATCTGTGGTGTGGTGGAGCAGACTCCCAACCAATAGTATAGAAAATGTGCTTGCCAAACTTCAAATAACGATTGCAGTCGCTACAACAACTGGGGCAGGAAATGGTAAGTCCTCCTCTGCGATGAATAGACCAGGTGAAGAGGGACTTGGCTTTACTCTTTATTTCCAATTGACGTCGGTTGGCACAGATTTCTAAAGCGGCTCCAACGGCAATCAAGAAGCAGAAGAAGAAGACTACAAGCCAAGGTATTTACAATAACAAAGGTCATGGATTGCGTGTCCGAAAATTAGTAGGGTGGAATTAGTTTGCGTGTCTGCGTTAAAAGCTAAACGGCATTTGTCAGCGCTCTAATACTTTCTAACTAGTTCGGAAATACAAGTCCCGACAGAATCATTTTGGAAAAAATAAGGCACTTGTCCTACCCTGAGTGCCACGTTATTCGGGAGTACCCGTTACTAAGATATCTGACCACTTGACTAAAACGAGCTCAGGTATTCTTAGGCCCGCAACCAGTTAAAGCACTGCCACAATCGGTCGTGGAAGGCACCGTCAGGAACTGGATAAGTATTTCGCTCAGGAATAACTGGAAGGCTCGGAGGGGGCTTCAGGTGGGCAAAACCCATGTTACTCTCAATCCTAGTAGGTTTAGCAGTGTATTTTCTTTCATTGAGCCTGTGGGACTTTAGAGAACTTGTGGCATTGCTAAGTGGTTACTTCAGGGCACTACTTTATATATATACAAGGAAAATTTGAAAGTTAGGGGGGGCTCGAGCACCCCCCTGCCCCTACCTGGCTACGCCCATGGTTGCGGGTACACTCACACTGACATATATTGCGAAGTGTGTGTAGCAATTGTTTACGGAGTTCTGCCAGCGCTACCCATGCCTGCTTTAATCCTTTGTCGACCGGCTGTGTCCAATGAACGCGAATAAGATTTTATTGTCTTCCCATATAAATACCTAATGCTTTTGAACTGTGTAACTCCTTTCCTTCGCATTTTTTCATATCGACTGCTGAGTGAAAGATCGACCTATCCGGCAGCCAATTCGAAAACGCCCTATCTAAAAAACTTCAAAATGTATTGAAAATATGCTGATATAGGACCTTTTTTCATCGAATTATGAAAAAGGCCGTTCCTCAACCAAATTCTGAAATAGGATGTTCTTCAAAAGTTATTTGAGATAGGGCATTTTCGAACTGGCTGTCGAGATAGGTCGATAGTCGATATAGGTCGGCAGTCGATATAAGTCTATACTTTTTTGATCACATAAAATTTTATAAATTTTTTTTAATAATTGGTATTGAACGTTAGGTAATGCCAGTTTTTTCCGCGGTACACAAAGAGTTAGAGAAATCGATTGATTTCGGCTTATTGGCATAAATCTAAGATATCAGCGGCGCTAAATCGAAAATCATTCATACGGAAAGCCAGGCCAAAATCACTCGAAATTGAGTAATTTTTTGGCAACCCGAAATTCCGCGCTTGCCATTTTCGAATGATGTTACCTGTCAGCACATCCATAGCTGCTTCGCTACCAGACATTTATATCTATCCATATGGGCCTCGGAACTTGTATGGCTACATCGACTTCTCATAATCATATCGCTGGCTTAAAGTGAAAAATTGCTAAGTCTATTTTTTATAGATTCTACACAGGAGAAAAACAACTTCTTATAGCCATTTTCGTCAAGTATTTTGCATAAATTGGAATAAAACACTTTGCGTATTTTTTGCAAACTCCATTCGAAGCGGAAGAATTCAAGACTCATTCCAAGATTTCGTATGATTTTGGCCTTATTTAATTTTCTGTACCTTTCTTGGACTTAGCGAATTTGACTTTGCACGCGTGACTGAAGTGAATTTTCTTCTTCTTATTACACCTATAGCTCACCCCATTCTATGAGTATTTTCCAGCATTTTAATAAACAATTATCTGAGTCTTAAATTTATCTTAATCTTATCCCTAAATAATCTTAAACTTAATCGTAATCTAAATCTTAATTTAATCCTAATCTTAATGTTAATCTTAATCTTACTCTTGTTTTTAATCTACTTATAATCTTCATCTTAATCTTAATTGGAATCTTAATCTTAATCTTAATCTTAATGTTAATTTTTAATCATGATATTAATCTTTGTTCTGATCTTTATCTTAATCTTAATTTTAAGCTCATTCTTAACTTTAGTCTTAATCTTAATTTTAACATTAATCATAAGCTAGTCTTACTTTTAATTTAATTTTTAATCTAAGTCTTAAGTTTAATCTTAATATTAATCTTGATATTAATCTTTGTCTTAATTTTGATCTTAGTCTTAATCTTAACTTACTTTTTATATTAATCTTAATCTTAATTTAATCCAAATTTTGATATTAGTCAATCTCAATGTTAGTCTTAGTCTTAATTTTAATCTTAATCTTAATCTCAATCTTTATATTAATCTAAATCTTAATCTCAATTTTAATCTTAGTCTTAATAATAATCCAAATCTTAATATTAGTCCTAATCTTAATGTTATTCTTAAGCGCCACCATTCTTCTGTCGCTTTTTCTTTACATGGACGTTTGCATTTATACCCAACTGATAGAGAAGAAGTTTCAGTTCAACAAGTACCTTAAGTACTTTTGGAAACTATGATTTTTTAATTTATCTTCCTTCCAATATTAAATTATGAGATTTCACAAGAAGCGAACTTTACAACTGAACGCTCTTAGATAGTCGATCTATTTTTTCAACCAACTTTTTTTTAATTTTTTCGACACGCAGATTCCTTTTTTGGTGCCCGACATGTCCAGTGTTTCATGGTTTTCCTTGGCCTTACTGTCGCCTTTACACACCGCGTTAATTTTTCGATGGCAATTGTGGCGATGATGGACCGTAATTCAACAAATCCGGATTTCGAGGTAAAAGCCGCAACTGATTTCAAAGCTACAAACTAATCAAACAAAAAATTCTCCCTTTCCTAGGAATACAATTGGTCAGAGCAAACGAAATCATACCTACTCAGTAGCTTCTTCTGGGGCTATTTCATTACCCAAATACCCGGCGGTCAACTGGCACACAAATATGGTGGCAAAATTATGTTGCTGGTAAGCGTGACCGTCAGCAGCTTTTTGGCAATACTAACACCACTTAGCGCACGCATCGGCGATTGGAAATTAGTTTTTGCATTACGTCTTACGCAAGGTCTCGTACAGGGTTGCATTTTTCCCTCAACACACACGATCCTCGCCAAGTGGGTGCCACCCGATGAACGCGGTTCAATTGGCACCTTCTGCTATACGGGCGTACAATTCGGCAGCGTTGTTATAATGGCCGTGAGTGGTGCCATTGCCTCATCCTCTTTCGGTTGGCCTGGTATTTTCTATATATCGGGTTTGGTTAGTCTACTTTGGGCTATTGTATGGTACATCGTTGGCGCTAGTTCGCCGAGTGAACACAAATGGATAACAGATTATGAGAGACTATATATCGAATCTGCTTTGGTGACATCGGCGAAACCAGAAGAGGAGACCGCACACACAAAGACACCATGGCTAAAGATATTGACTTCTGTGCCCTTCTTAGTTATATTGGTGGCGCAAACCTCATTTGGATGGGGATTTTGGACACTGCTCATACAAATACCCTCGTATATGAAAAATATTCTCGGGCAGGATATCAAGAGTAATGCGCTTATGTCGGCATTGCCTTATCTCGTTAATATGTTTTTGACTTTCGTCTTTTGTGCGTTGAATAACTATCTTATAAAGCGAGAATACATCACCATACATACGAGTCGTAAACTTTTCAACACCATCGGTTTCTGGGTGCCGGTAGTGCCACTCATACTACTCGGTTACATGCGCGAAGGTCAAAGCAGTTTGGCGCTTGGCCTACTCGTCATCACAATTGGCACGAATTCGGCAGCATATTTGGGTTTCCTCACCAATCACATTGATTTGTCACCCAAATTCGCTGGCATTCTAATGGGTGTGGCCAACTGTAGTGCGAATTTCATTGCCGTTATAGCACCCTTACTTGTAGGGTTCATCGTCACTGATACGGTAAGTGTATGAGCTTGAAATGGGGAAACATTTGGCGAGGTTATCGAGATGAGGTTATAGATTTGTATCTAAAAAGAAAGCTCTTAAAGACGTAGTGATTTAACCTCCTTAGGCG